CCACACACACACACACACACACACACACACACACACACACACACACACACACACACACACACACTCACAGACACAGACACACACATAGAGAGACACAGACACACTCACACACACAAATCAGCAAGCACTGACATGTTTAATGATCGGTAGTGCTTTAGCTGAACTCAGAAACACGTACTATAGCAATGAGTAAATAATTAAAAACACACATTCCTGCCTCACTGAAATGGTTAATATTTATCTTTCCACAAACACTAATGAAGCATCAGGGAAGATGCTCTCATGGAAACCAGCAGAAACACTCAGAATAGCAGCATATTGAGCATCTACTGTTTCCTATTCTTCTTCACACTTTAAATGCTTCATGTACATCACACATATTTCATTCAGGTCATTTCAGGACAAAATTACTTCTTAGGTATGTGCTTTCTATTTGTTTTTTTATCATCTTTAATAAACGTGGAGTTTGAAAGTCACACTTATAACAGCATTCACAATCTAACCAACAGCGATGACGTCACCGTCTTATTTGCATACTGAATACCAGAACGCCATTCCTAACTCTGGAAACGCAAATAATTTCCAATAAATCATCATTATATTACAGAGCGATATTGAGATTTTGATTCTAGACTGGTGGATCAGGTTTGAAACTCGGCACGGAGTCAAAACCAGCGATCTGAGGCACACTGATTCTAGGCTGACAGAGAGAGAAGAGCATCCTGCAGTCCAGTCCATGGACACAATCATTCTCCACTCAGCTGTGTGAGAACTGAAAGCTGCATGAGGAAACCATCTCCATCTCCATCTCCAAAAACTCAAGCAATTTCAGTAATTCAGTTTATAAACCGGGTTTTATATTGTGTGTGTGTGTGTGTGATGGAACAATGCGTGTCAAATTACACACACACACACTCACAAAGCACACTCCTGCACACACGCCTGGAGGTGTTGCTCTGTTCAGACTCAGAGCTCATTTCCTCAAATGCTGCGATGAAAAAGTAATTTCCTGATGGTCAGTGGCGTGGAGGAGAAACAGCGTCTAGAGCAAACAGTGAACAGACTCACACTCAACAATATGCCCCTCTCTGTCCATGTGGAGACTTTATCATCAGCAGCAGAGCCTCCGGAGATGCTCAAACACAAAAACATGCAGCATTCAACATCATCAGCCCGACTGCGTTCATCGCTAGTCCATCAAATCTCTCTCAACCAGTGCTGTATTATTTGATGCTCTTCATTCTTGTTTTCCCTCATGATGCATTTTAATCCATGCTAAATGAACCTTCTTGTCTTGCTTAATGCCTACACTAAACCCAAACCCTCTCCTCCAAAACCACACATCTAATCACGAGCCAAGCAGTGTTCCTGAACTCAAACATGAGGATCTCTCTCTCACACACACACACACACACACAAACACACACACAACACACACACACACACACACACACACACACACACACACAGTCCATCTTCAGTGTCAGAGCCTGAGGTGTGTGTTTGCATCACGCTGGAGTTTTCTGAGTTGTGCCGCTCCTGAAACCCATGCAGAGCTGGATCTGGTGTGGAGAATTCTGTGATCGTCTCAGCTGTTTTCTCAAATGAATGGACAGTATTCCTCCATGTGAGACTTTGTGTCAGTTTTTATAGAGTGTGAATTTTGCACAACGACACAAACCTATGAGAGAAACGAGAAAACGGCCCATAGAAACATGCGGTAAACTGCTGGAAATGCCATCATGATGCAGACAGTGTTCAGATAAACGTGTACAGCAAGCACTACATCTCACGAGCGAATCTCTCTGAGCTGAATGGAAGCACCGATGTGAAAGTGATCTGGAAACACAGCGGCCTGGTCTGACCAGAGCCTGGGGCTGCATGTGTCCTAACCCGGGTTTGAGCTGTCTGTCCTCATATCCATCATCTGTTCAGGGACCCCACAGCACAAACTCACTCACAACAGCTGGACAGACACAAACATAACCTTGCACATGTAGGATATCAGTTGCAATAATTAAAGATCGCCCATAAATATTAATGAAAAGATGTCATCTTTGACTAAATGTGTTAGGATTAATAAAAATTATTATTTTGTGTTTGGCACTGTCAGTAATTCATGCACAGGTTTGGTAATATCATCAGGCCAAACTTTTACCAAACTGCTTTAGTTTAATAGCGATGTTTCTGAAATGACTTACGCAGAGTTTCTCCGCTCGCCTCCTCCGCTTTGACGCGCGGTGGGTTCTCCTGCGCGAGCGTCTGTGTGCTGGAAGATGAGCAGCCCATCCTGACCAAACACGCAAAACCTCCTGGAGTTGCTCCTCTCTTCAGTTCTAAGCGCTGAATATGCCGCATGTGTTCCTGTCAAACAGACGCGAGCGGAATGAGACGCGCTGGAGCTGACGCGCATGCGCTGTTCGTGCCCACATCTGAATAATCACCTGAAACACATGCATATTAGAAACTACAGCAGCTGATTAGCGGGAATCTGGAAGAATATAGAGCCTCAGAAGGGAATTTTAGTGTAGTTCGACATACGGCGGTAAATTCCAAGGAAACCTACACACTATGTTTCCATCCAAAGATTCGAATTTAACTTATGCGCAAAACTGGAATATCGCATAAAACATTTGCGAATAAAGCGAACAAAATCATCACTTCCTGGTAAACTGGCACTAAATATCACTGAGAAAACTAGTTTAAGCCACTGAATATAATAATTTGCATATATGACTAGCGCCTCAGAGCGAGCAGACGACACAATAAACGCTGTCACTGTTTTCGGAGGCGGTTTCCAGCTGTTTGGGAACACAGTCGTGTGAGACAGTATTATACAGAAATACTTTGATAGACTTCGCTCAGGCTTTTCAGAACAACATATAGACGCTGAGAACGAGATCTGGTTCCGTCTCATAGCGCAAACTCACATGACTTCGTCGATGCGCATGGAGGAATTTATTCGGTAAATGTGTTTCATGCGGTTTTTTACGGTGGTCGAGAAGTGCAAAGCAAATCACAATTCTGAAAACAAAATAACAAATTACAAACGCAAATGCAAGTCTAAAAAACAAAATAACAATTCAGAAAGCACAACAACAATTCAGAAAACATTATAACAAGTCAGAAAACACAACGACAAATCAGACAAACCGGAAGAGGTAGGTATAGTTTGAGACAGCACCATTGGTTTGGGATTACTCACCGCTGACTGGACGAGACATCTGTCAATCAACGTATACAGGAAGAACCAGCCGAAGAACAGCAGAGTCATGGTAGAAAGTTCGGAGATGGTATTAAAGTAGCTCAGTTTAAATGTATTGTATGAATTGCCCTTACTGTAGAATAAAAAATACGGAGTGTCTATTTACATTTAGTTAAAAGTGACTGTAAATCATCAGCTCCAGTGGCGCAGATGGATAAGCGCTGTAGTTGGCTTTTTGACGATCGACCCGGGTTCGATCCCGCCTTTTGCCGAACTTTTTTTTCCTCCCTTTTAGTCCTCCAGAGAGTCGCGCCTCTGCTGTAGAACAGTCCTGTGGGTTTTTACTGCAGCCTTCAGTTTTTGATGTTAATTCACTACATACCTGGTTTTACACACTACACCTGTTAGTGTTGACTGAGCATGACAGTCACCTGGGGTGTATTCCAGAAAGCGGGTTTTGTTTGAAACGCAGAGTTTCCCATCTCAGGGTAAGTCAACTCAGAGCTCAAGTTTTAACTCAGAGTTTGTTGAACCTCCTTTCTGGAATACACCCCTGCTTGCTCTGGAAAGTAATGGGAGTCACCAGATCAGTGAAAGGGGCGTTCTCGACCATGTCACCTGATTGGCTCACATCACAGTATAGGGGTGGGGTCAGGTAAAGGGCATCATCGGCCCTGTCCCAAATGGAACACTTCATGTGCACTTTCGGGCTTGCATGCGCGTGTCCGTTAAGTCCACGAGACCATAGGGTGTCCCATAGCGTTCAGAAGGGTGCCCTCGGTCTGCACTTCTGCCGAGACCACACTGCAGACTTCTACCCGACAGTCAAAGCGGCATTACGTCACGAAAGTGCGGACTCAGAGGAATGCCTTGTCCAAATACCCAGACTTGCCCTGCGTCTCAATGTTCATACTATCCATCCTAAACAGTATGTGAGATTTGAATAAGTGTGTCCCAAAACAGATTTTGCTCATCTCAAACAAGCCTATTTATTTCCAGAACATGATGCATGATGGGATACACTAATCCTGGAATAGCGCTCCGGAGCAGTACTGGAGATAGTGTGGGTTTAGTGTGTGTGAAGGGCACTGCGCTTTTCCGGTTTTAAGATCTGGGACAGTCTTGCACACTTACTTCCTGTCGCTCGCACGCGCTCTCAAGTGGCCAAGACCACAAGTGTGTGTAGCACAAGACCAGGCAGAAGAGCGTGAGGGTTCAGGGTGCCATTTGGGACAGGGCCATCATCTTCTTCTTCTTCGTTGTTGTTTTAATGGCGGTCGGCATCCAACATTAAGGTGCATTACTGCCACCTACTATACTGGAGTCAACTACCTCCCAGATAATAATAATAATGATGATGATGACAACAACAAACACTTTTAAATTCTGTTAATTAAGCCAGTTATTGTCAGATAATTTAATAAACTTTAATTGTTATGACCATTAAGTATATCTTTAATGCTAATTTCAATAGAACTTTGTTTCCTAATTTCTTTCTTTACTATCTCTCTTTCTGTGATGTACTTTTGTCAGTGACGTAGTGTGTGTTCCTCTGATTCCTCCTCTTAACAATGATCACATCAGCCAGTTTCCCTATTAGATGTAATGTTTTATCTAACCCTGTGTGTCCCATTCTCAATCGTGTAAGTATACTTTCTATTTTCTTATTTCCTTTACAAACCCTCCTACTTTCTCCTGGATTCTATAGTAATGTCTACCTGTTACTTCCCTATCCAAGTTATATTGACATTGCTTTATTATACTATTCTTAACTACTACTTTTGCTTCTGATTTACTATATAGGATTTCCATAATCTCATCTAGTTTACATGCCTCCTTAGCTAAAGCATCTGCAACCTCGTTGCCTTTACTTGCCATGTCTGCTGGAATACACATGAATACTATCCTCACATTTACTCTCTGCGGTCTAAAATTGAATGAATCTCATATATGCAATCCTGCCTATTCTTTGATGATATTGAGTTAATTGAAATCAATGGTGAACTGGAATCTGAAGATATAATTACTTTCTTCTGTCCAGTAGAGGGCAGCAATTATAGCATCAACTCTACTGTTACTGTATATATTGCCAAGTGATCTGTAGTTCTTTTGTAAAGGGCATCTTCACTGCATGATTTAGAAACACCCAGCAGTTTGAAAACGCTTACTCTTGTTCTGCAGAGAGCCGGTTCTCTGGCCTCTGGTTCTGCAGAGAGCTGGTTCTCTGGCCTCTGGTTCTGCAGAGAGCTGGTTCTCTGGCCTCTGGTTCTGCAGAAAGCTGGTTCTCTGGGCTCTGGTTCTGCAGAAGGTGGCAGTAAAGCGCCTGAGGAGCGACAGCCCAGAATCCAGAAGAGCTCAGCTGCTGAAGCCTGGCGGACAGTAGGCCTGTTTGGTTGTTTTAAAGCATGGCTTTTCCCTCTGAATTTGTTTTTGTTTATCTTCAGAAGCAGCAGATGTGGATGGGTTACTTGCATATTATTAATGTATTGTTTACTCTGATGGTTTTGGTGCTGCTGCTGGTTTAATGCGATCTTAAGTGTTACATTCATGAGAATATTTTTCTGTTGATGGGGTTTGTAGTCAATGTAAATATTTTTTCCTAAAACTCCCCATTCAAACGGATAACTTTAGTTCTGCTTTCTCACAGAGACGCGGCACGAAGGCTTCTGCTGACGTTCCCCTCCGTCTGTCTTTAGTGAAGGCTGTCTGATCAGGATCAGGCTCGTAAGTGAAGAGCGACAGAAAGCAGTTGATTTATTCCCGTCAGTGCTGTGTGGCGAACCCTTCTCGCCTGTCGGGCCTGTCAGTGGTCTGATCAGGGCTATATGTTCGCTAGATCGACACCAGTAGAGACTCACAGATCAGCCTGTGCTTCATCTGTTCTCACCTGCACCGCTGGTCACACCTGCCTCTAAACATGCAGACTCCAGCTCCAGAAGCACCACTGTTTACACTGTCTCCTCTAATCTAACGATTAGTTCAGATCATGGAGCTGATGACGGAACCCAGTCAAGTGTTTCAGATAACTGCAGTGTTGTGGGTCTTTGACCACCATGTCGGGGGAAGCACTGTTATAACAAAAAACAACAGGTTTACTGGATTTACTATGGTAAAGCAGGCATAAAACCATTTTCTTTCCCCATGCAGGTGGCTGACGCCATCAGGAGCACATCGAGTGTCAGATAATTAATGTCTCTGTTTCACGGTCCAGAAGACCCCAGAGACGTCCTCATTACAAGTTCAGTACATCTGCAGGATCCGAGTGGTGATGCTCTGTGGAGTTTTAATGCACTATGAATTAAACTTTTACAGTTTTCAGTCTTTTTTTTTACTTCAAACATGTACAATCATACAGAAAATGAATTATGCTGTTAACTATGCAGTACAATAATTTGGGATAAATGTCATTAGGATGTGAGACACAGATCTCGATGTTTTCGCTCCACCGCTGATCTCACACCAGTTCATTCTCCAACAGTTCAATCCTCTTCATCACGGTGTCTAGTGTGTGCTGTTAAGAAATGATGTAAACACTGGATCTTTTGAGTTCATGTATGTTTTATGTATTAGTGATAGGTTAGACACTGACGCTTGTGTCAAATAAACCACACATTTCACACTGAAGCACTGTATCGCAGCTTGATTTGCTCTTTGATCCTGAAGCTTTGTTTGCCTGAGAAACATGAAATAGTGATGGTCGCTTCTGGAACACTGCTTCATGACGCTTTGAAACCTTTGTGAATAATTTGTTTCGAAATAGTTCAGTGTATCGGAGCGCGTATCAAACTGCCAAAGTCACATGATTTCAGTAAATGAGGCTTCATTACATCATACCTGTTTCTAAACATTTTGAAACTTCAATGATTTGCCGTTGGGGGGGTGATCTCTGAACCGTGAACCGTGCGCGTTCACTGAGTCGCCCCCAGCGGTGAACCACTGAACCAGCGTTTACCTTATCTCAAATCAGTTTTAGCAATTTGCAGACATTTTTAATGAGACATTTGTGTAATTATAAGGATGAATAGTGGTTAATAGGCTCTTACTGGCCTGCTTTCCATAAAACAAACAAAACAAGCCCTGCAAATGAACAATAATTATTAAAAACACATAGCTACAGACACTTCACATATAATGGCACTTTATTATTTTAATTGCATTTAATATTCCAATTTTCAGAAAGCATTTGCATTGGTTTTGTAAAAGTTGTTTTTCATGTTCTGGCATGAGTGTTTGTTGCATGTACACACTTGACCAGCAGGCGTCGGTAGCGTGTGGTGTTTCGAGCGCTTCGAAAAGGTTAGTTTCTCCCATCACTGTCATCTCCCATGAAACTGCTTCAGTATCTGTTTGAGAGGTGCCAGCCTCAGCGTCTTCTTTACTTTAATTACTCATGGTGGGTTTTTCAATATGGTAATTAATAAATGAAACCCACAGTGAACCTTGCCTATGAAATAATGTTATCAGTGTTGAACTGATTATTTCTTTAAAATTGTTCAGACGTTCATGAAGAAACATATTTTACTTACATGATATTACTCACTACTATTTAACCTTTTGACCACCAGATGGCCACAAAAAACCTAACCATAATCTACTGTGTTGTGTTTGCGCTGCACAGTTTGAATGTCTTTCTGAAGGTCATGAGATCCATGAACTGAACTGAGTGTGTCAGATGAGCAGATAAATAAAGGGACTGGTGTAAGAGTAAAGCTTGAGTCTGGGGTAAAGGATATATTGCTGTGAAACCCTCAACAGAGCTTCAGTGCTCATGTTGTGGAACAGCATCGTCTTCCCACATTTACACTGATGTGACACTGACAGCTGATCTGAGACAGAGAAAACACACAGTATTATTTGTGCAGTGAAGTATCCATTTACAGTGTATTGAAAATATTGATTTATCTAAAGCATTCTGGTGGGTGCAGCATAACACTTGTAGAGAAACACTGTTCTGATAGCCGATTCTTCTTTCCTGAAGTTGAACACGTGTTTGTTCATGTTTAACAGCGGTGTATACGCAGCTACAGACTCTTAGGCTTCTGTTTATGATCTGATAACATACATCACTGACACACATGCTGCAGTACCGTCACAGCTGTGAACCTGAGTCTTCAGTCTGTCTGCGATCTGCTCCATTTGACTGAAGTCTTCTGCGTAGTACGCATGTTTCTGCTGCGGCTCTGACACTATAAACTTCAGCTCTTCTTCTGCAGTCTCTCCCACACCCACTGCATATAGAGCAATACCTACAGAAAGAGAGAGTTGAGCTAGTTTGCCGGAACTGGACTCTGTCTTGTTATTTGGAGATATTTCTCCATTTGTCAGATGTTAGAATGGCTTTATGATCAAACATTCATCAACTGACTGCATGAGGTGCATCCTTCCCTGTCCACTACAACTCATCTATCAGAAATGTTAATATGTGAATGCAACTCAGTATTTTTGTTTTCCTTTATCAATACATTACAGGGAGTCTCTAATAATGTGATATATGTTTAGTACCATCAGCTTTGACCTTGCTGGCCCATGTGAGCACGTTGTCTTGCGAGTGTCCATCTGTAAACACTACGGTGATCCTCTGAGCTGTTCGGCTGCTGTTCCTGAAGCTGTTCTGGATCAGGTATTGCAGGGCGGCGCTGATCACGGAACCACGGCCCATATAGCGGACGGCTGCGACGGCCCGCTGGAGCTCGCTAGCGCTGCTGTACTGGCCCAAAGTGAACTCGCTGCGGACTTTAGAGGAGTACTGGAGCAGCCCGACCCGAGATCCGGCTGGCAGAGCGCTCACCGTTCTGCTCACAAACCGCTTCAGCAGCTCAAACCCAGTAATGCCCACATGTCTGGAGCCACTAATGACGAACATGAGATCCACAGATCCACGTTTACAGTCCAGACCTACAACAACAATTGTTTTAAATGTATTAAACCTGCATATTCTTGCAAAGAAAAGAGCAAGTAAAAACAATGAGAGTAATGTAACCTTTTTAGTAATGTGGCCAAACTATATCAAATTATATTCACCAGAAAAGTATTTTCACTGAAAATGTGATGATTGAAATCACTTCATAATTTGTAACGAGAGTAATGAGTTATATCAGTGTGATTTAGTTTAATGAGCTGCTCAGACTGTGATTCTGTTCAAGACACATTAATGAGTTCTTTTTGAGTGACAAAATAACGCTGTAAAAGCACATGTGCTCATCAGGTGTATTCTGAGAGCTGAAGAGCTCTGGTCACGAATGCACTGCTTCCAGACACTCAGAACACAGCAGTGCAGAGAACCAACACTTACCACATGCTTTACCATCTGGAGCGAGTGTGAAACCTTTCCTGCAGCGGCACATGAACGAGTGGTCTGTGTTTACACACTCGTGTTCACACTCGTGGATTCCTGATGCACACGGATCAGATGCTGAGGAGATCAGAGCAGAGATGTCATCAGTACGAGTTTCCTAAACATCTAAACCAGGAGACTTCAGCTCAAACACATCTGAACTAGACAATCCAGGTCTTCAGGTTTATAATATATACAATATGTCTTCCGGATGATAATGGTGTATAAGCCTGAGCCCCATGGGCAGGTGGAGGTGTATTTCTTCTTTTTACAGTGGAAGTGAAGGCAACAGACTGACCTGCACACAGCTTTGAGTGGAAGACAGAAACCAGTGTTTCTATCTGGCTGAAAGTGTCCACCAGATGCACGTGTTCTGCGTACGGCTCGCTGCTGATGGCCTGCAGGGTCACCAGATCCACACGGCCGACTCCCACAGCGAAGATCTCTATCCCGGCCCGCCGCGCTCGATCCGCTTCCCCCTCCACAGAGTCCTGCGGCCGGCCGTCGGTCACCACCACAGCGACGCGAGGCAGCTGCATGTGACCAGGCCGCGCACCGCGAGCCACAGAAAACGTCTCCTCGCGCGTGAACTGCAGCGCTAAACCCGTCATGGTCCCCGACGCCAGGTGCTCCATGCGCTCCACAGCGCGCAACATCAGCTGCTTCTCAAAGTAGCTGTTCAAGAAGAACTCATTCTGCACCACGCTGCCAAACTGCACCAGTCCCACGCGCGTCTCATTGTGAGCCACGTTCAAGAACAGCAGCAGGTCCTTGATGAAGGTCTTCACCCGCTCATAGTCTTCAGGCCGGACACTGCGAGAGCTGTCGACCACAAACACCAGATCCAGCGGCCGTCCTTCACAAGAACCCTCTGCATAAACACAACAGGATGCAGTTCATACAGTGAAAAAGACTGAATCACAGTATCTCTGTGATCTGAATACCTGTGCTGTCCTGTTCTGCTGTGTCTCGCGGTGATGGTTTGCTGGGACACACAGCACAGCTCCAGATGAGCAGCAGAATGAAAGCTGGGCTCTTCATTTCAGAGAGAAGAGATTCCTTCAGCTGGAGCCACACAACAACAGTAAAGCATGATTAGATGTTTCAAATCAACATCAAATTTTCAAATATGATAATGCATGTTAAAAGCACATAACAATGGGACATTTGATTCAAAATCTGTACCGTCTGTTCACAACAATGTTGCGTGTTCTGCATGTGTAAAAGTGACACAATGTCTAATGCTTGATAGATCAAACAAAAGTAGGCTATATCAGCGTAAATTACAATAGGCTCATAAACAAACATTCCAGAGTAAAATAGATAAATAGTAACGTTTACTAGTCATTTAATAGTGCACACGTACCTGTTTTTAAAGAGCAGAGACTGTTGAACAGAGGTGAAGCAGACAAACACACAGAGCAGAATCCAGATGTTTTTCTGCTGCAGGACGTTCATCCGCCTGCGTCCTCCCTCTGAGCTTTTCTGCTTCAAGGGAAAGTACTTTTCTTGGGACTACTTTAGTTTTTCTGTTGTTGACAGTTTCACCGTTTCTTTGGCCTGAACCGCATGACTGGTTGCTCAAGCAAACCCTTTAATATATGCAGTACTGACATTTCAGTTTGGATTAATTCTCCTCAGTATTTATCATACACTCAAAGTGTCATTGTGGCCCGTCCAACCAGGAGATTAAATTTTCAGTGCATGTATATGAAACAATTAAAAAATCCATTTAAAACTGCTGAATTAAATTTAAAACTGCTTAGTAAACTCAAGATAATTAAGTGTTTGGTTTTCTCAAAGAACATATTCTTCTTCTGCTTATAGTTTGAAGAGCTTTGGATGAAAACTGTCTCCAGTGAAGGATCTGAACTGCAGCTAAGATCTAATCGAACCCAAACAGACCTTCAGTGCTCCATTAAATGCTATATAAAGCTATAACGATCTGCTGCCGTGCACTCAGCCGCAGCACACCAGCTGTTTCTGTGATTCCTCTGAAGGATCCCTGAACTCTGATGACTTTAGCAGGTTACGTCTTACAGTAAAATGATTGTGCTTACGTGTAATTAAGTACATATTCCAATCACAGCTGTTGTAAAACCTCTTGAGTTCTCGAGAGATGATGCAGTAATTTTGTTTACGGTCAGCTGAATCTGAAATGGTGTTCAGCAGAAAAACAGCCAATGCATTTGAAGATGCTGGAGCCGTTTATGTTTGTCATGTAGTTTTTTTTTTTTACGGTTTTGTATTTACCATAAATTAGTATGTGATAAATGACGTTTAATGATGGTTTTGTTACCAAGAACGGTACAGGTCTGGCAAAGAGTTGTAGAATCTATTTGTATCTCCTTAGAATTGTAATGTAGGCTACTCATACCTAGGATATTACTATGTCATTCATCTTATATGTTGGTAGTGCTGACAGAATTTGTTTCTTATCTCTGTTTTGTTCAGCTCTGGTTTATTTTTTTTGTGTGTGTTCTTTTGAAAATCTAATAAAAAGACAATTGAAAAAAAAGATGGTTTTGTTAGACATTCATAGTGCATGATTTGGTATTGAAAATGTAACCGCATTTTATTATTTGCGCAAGTCTATGGGTGGGACGGTTCTGTCACATGGACAAACCTTACATCCCAGCTAACAAAAATACGTCACTGCAACGTAATCTGGTGACCAAAGTTACGTCTCGTGGTGGCAACCGGAAAAGTGAAAGGTGCGTATACGTCGCCACAACGTAACTTTGTGACGTTGCCAGTAAGTAATCAGTAGTTGTGTGCTGGTAATCAGTTGGTAATTTTTTATAATGATTTATTTTCTATGGGCGGACATGCAGTAGTTTAACCTAATTTATGTCCTCATATGCCCAAACTAATTTAAAGGCTGTTTCAACAGCTGTGAATGATGAATACAGACTCGAAATGAATTCAGTTCATTTATTTTGAAAAACGCACAAATATGAACAGTATAATACACCCAAATTATTAATAAAAACACAGGATATACAGCGAAATATGAATGAAAGTATTCAGCCCATACAGAAGTCACATAGATTGAAATATATTAATAATAAATACATTTTCATATATTTAAATATCTTAAATTTAAATAGAAGAAAATATATTTTATACAATATATATAAATATATTTTGAAAATATTGATTTTGGTCACTTTTTAACATTTTTCACATATAAAGATATGTAAATATATTTTCATCGGCAATATTTACATATATTTATTTCCTTTATATTTCAATACATTTATATATCAGACTATGTAAATATATTCATTTGCAATATATGTCCATATATTAATTTCTAATATTTCTTAAAATTAAATTTATGTATATGTAAATATATTATTTCTATAAATGTAAATATATTTTAAAACAATATGTAAGTAAATTAAATCTACATATATGTAAATGTTTTGATTTTATATAGATTATAATTTGCCCCTTCATAATAAATCAAACAGAAATTGGAAACTGAAAAAATGTACAAATCTCCAGACAATGCAACTTAAAAACAGTGACAATATCAACTGAATTGACTTATTAATATAAAGAGTAAATTTATCAACACCAGTTCAGCATGAACCAACAAAAATTATGAATGCTCATGTTAGATTTCTATAAATGTAAATATATTTTAAAACATTCAAATATTCAATAAAATAAACATGTTTCATAGAATATATTCCCATTTACTCAAACTTTATGTAAATAAATTAAATCTCCACACATGCAAATGTTTTCATTTTATATAGATTATAATTTGCCCCTTCATAATAAATAGAATACAAACAAAATGTGGACACTGAAAAACTGTAAAACTCTCCAGACAATGTAACTTAAAAACAGTGACAATATAAATTGACATTAATATAAAGAGTACATTTATCAACACCAATTCAGCATGAACCAACAAAAAATATGAATGTTCATGATGTTTCTGGCACATAAATGAAAGATTATCCTTCTGTAAGCATCCAGGGTCAAAACATTATGCACAAATATGCAAGTCTTAGTAGGCACTCAACACATTGCATTTAAATATTTAAGAGCCATCATTAACCATGCACACAATTCATCAACTAATCACGCCCTTAACCAACCCACTTCAAATAATTAAGTGAAAATCATATGCAAAATCTTTTCTTTTCTTTTTTTTGGGCAATTCACCATTTAAAAAAAAAGCAGTATCATGCCTGGGCTTCTTTCATTGCTGGTCATTGTTATGCCGGTAGGTGCAGGGCTCTACGCTTACTTTTCTTTTTAGGAGCACCTTCTAATCAATTATCCAAAATGTTACCAAAAAGTAGCCTTCCCATTACGCAAATGAAATCAGTATTAACAAAATTAATTTGTAGAGGTGGCACAGAAGAACACAAAAGTGGCTTGGTGTACTTTCAGACATTTAATGAGGCTCAGAGGTCGCATGAGTGCAATTAAATACATAAATTCATGATGAGATTAATGTTTTAAATATAAAATTTTGAATATAGAAATATTAAATGATTTAAATAACTGAAAAGATACTTTAAAAATTAAACTAAAACTGCCAGCAGGTGGCTGTCACTGATTTTATCACTGAAACATTCATTCAATTGATTCGTTCGGACAGCTGATTCATTCAGGAATGGGTATTTATGAATGGGTAATTGAATCACTGACTCACTAGATTCGTTTAAAAACGCCCGTTCATTCATAAACGAAACACCGCTGTGTTTGAATGGAGATGCGCTGTGTCTTTGTTTCAAACTATTTTCGACGACGAAATAGAGCAAAATCAGACAATAGTGTTATAGTCAGACAATGCAAGTCACTTAATATTACCTTCTTGTTTATTGAATTGTATTGTATTAAATCAGTATCACATTTACGAACTCCTTTAAAAATAATTAAAAGCTGGCACTCATCTTAGTTCATCTGATCTCACATCTATAATCAACGAAGCTCTACACTGCGCAATGAATCTCTTATTTACACCGTCTACACTTTGCTTATGAAAGGATTCATGAGATATGCCTGTGATACATTACTCAACGCTGCAGAAACACGTAGAAACCTTTGAAGCTCTCCTGAGCGCAATCACAAATATGATGATGATCGGGTCAGTCGCACTAGTGCTCCTAAATATTTTCATAGTCGCACGCAGAAGTTTTCAGTCACAAATGCTGAAATGGTCGCACTGTAGAGCCCTGAGGTGGCAGCCAGAGACTGTCTTAATCAGTTAGTTAACCACTGAAAGAATACTATGACAAAAATATCACTTTATGGATAATAGCACTTTATATTTTATGTTTAAGCAATTAACATTAAATTCTTAAATCTTAGAGGGGTCATATGATGTTGCTAAAAAGAACATCATTTTGTGTATTTGGTGTAATGAAATGTGTTTATGTGGTTTAAGGTTAAAAAAAAAAACAATATTTTCCACATACTGTACATTATTGTTTCTCCTCTATGCCCCACCTTTCTGAAACGTGTCGATTTTTACAAAGCTCATCGTCTGAAAAGCGAGGTGTGCTGTGATTGGCCAGCTATCCAGTGCGCTGTGATTGGCCGAATACCTCAAGCGTGTGACGGAAATGTTACGCCCCTCACCATACTGTGATGATGCCGTGTCCGGCCGGAGCGACGAGACAAAAACATGAAAACCCATTATAAACGAGGCATTTGTTGCATCCAGTGGGGACAATTACTGATTATAATGACTTATACTGTCTTTTTACGCGTTGCGTTGCATCG